TTTCTCTTTTCTGTATCGAAAAATATCGAACCGTGAGACTAAAGTATCAAACTGAACCGAACCGTGAGTTTTCTGTATCGTTGCAGCCCTATTATTTACGAAAGTTTATGGAATACAATTTGAAACGTGATGAGGTCAGCATTTCCTGCAGCAGCTGAATCACAGTGGTGGTTTTGTAAAATCGTTGTGATGTAAAGTCACATAAGTTCTTTAGAGTACAGAATGTCATCCTGAAAAAAATAGATAAATAAAACTGGACCCTGGTTTTACAAAAGAGGAGCCTGATAACTAAAATCTTTGCCTCTCATTCTGTTTCCGAGACTGAGTTGACGAGTAAGCCTAAATTCTGAGAGTTTGAAAATATGGAACAGATCTTTAATATTAAATAGAGCTCGGGTTGTCCAGAGCCCTGAAATAAGATTTTAAATTCTCTTCTGTATTTTCCCGGGAGCCGACGGAGAGAAGCTAAAATTGGAGAAATCTGATCTCTCCTCATCAGAAGTCTGGTAGCGGCAATTTGGGTCGGACTTGTTAGTGAGGACAAAGAAAACGAACCGYACAGAACGTTGCGTTACCGAGAACTTTTACTGAACGGTGAAACAAATCCGATTTTTAGTTTGATGTGTTTCAGTTATTGGAGGCGAATTGTTTTGGAAATCTTATTAATTGACGCAACAAGTATTTTCAGAGAAATGCCAGCTATTTTTAGGTTTTATTTACTGTAGCAATGCTTCTGTTTTTGATATCATTTCAGTGCTTCCTCTGTAAACGATCTGAATTCATCCTCCCAAGTAAACTTGGCAAAGCTGTGTGTCTTTCACACAAACCACGTATAGAGAAAAAAACAAAACAAAAAAAAGAGTGTTTGTCTTGATGAAAACCTCAGATCCTCGTACCGCTGCTGCTTTCTGTTGATCTTCAGAGGTTCTCTGCAGTTCTTCAGACTCACCTTCCTCCGACAAACGAAACAGTAATTATAAAATTCTTGTGGAGGAAAATGCGAAGGCTTCAGAAATGATGCAGTTGGAACATTCAGCCATCTGAAGGTCTCCACAATCCAAACTCAGATCTCTTTATCCCAGCAATGCATTCACTTTATCCTTGGAAGCTTTAGATGTGGATTTCTGCGTACATAYTCTGGAAAGGAATAGGTAATGTGCCCTTTAAATAACTTATATACACTGTGATCCTTCATTAACATGCAGATTTTAATTAAGGGCCTCGCAGGTAATGCATTTTGTCCTGCCAGTTTGAATTCAAATTGGCCGCTGCCACTTGTTGCTTCTTAATTTCAGGAGAAAGTGTTGAGAATGACTTTGAGCTCCTACCACATACATGTTACTTCATYATTTTTAAGTTTGAGTAAATAATAAACAGGTTTGTGTTTGCTTCTGTTGTTTAGCTGTAGTGGCCATCTTGAACTTAGCTTATATTTTGCTAACAAGTGTGAAATAAAATGCAAATATACGTCACATTTTGTCTTGTTGAATTAGTCATTTTGAATGTCTGTTAGTGTAAAGCGCTTTGGGGTCCGGAGGGACTTGAAAAGCGCTCTATAATTTCAGTAACATTTACCATTACCATAAGTTCAGTACCATTTTCAATATTCAGCTCACTTTGAGTGTAAAATCCTAGTTAATTACCATCAATATATCATTGTTATTTAGCTCAGTTTTCTAACATTTTGGTGTTTTTAAAAACTAAATATTCAACTTAAATGTTAAAAGCTACGTCTAAATGTGTAAATCTAAATGCAAAAATGTTGTAGATGAGATAAAATGTTATAAATATTAATGAAAATATAATATAATATGACATAAATATGATGAAATAAAATGCTGTAAATAAATGTTGCAGCTAAATGTTGACGTTTACCTTTGAGGATTTTTAGAATGGAACGCAGCCTTTGCTGTTCGCGTGCGGCTTTTATTATGATGTCATCATCCCGAGACAAAAACAAACGCTAACACTGCTAACGCTGCTAACGTTTCAGCACAAGACATCAAACTCACAACTGCGGCCCGTGTCTGAGCTGCACTTCAAGCTGCCGAACCACGGGTTCCATCCGTTTTGCTTTCAGCGAACACATTTTGAATTTGAATGCGGTGTTAGCGGCATTAGCAGCGTTAGCATTTGCTTTTTGTTGCACGATGATGATGTCAAAACAAAAGCAGCACACCAACAGCCACATTTAAATGTAATATTCAGTAAGAAATAGCAAAATGTAAGAGCTGCGAGCTAAATAACAATAAAATGTTAGCAGACTTTTATTTTATTTTACACTTGGCGCCACTAAAACATTC